GCATTTCTTCAATGGCTAAAAGATGCTAACTAAACATTTTTTCATGTATTTACTTGACATCTATATATCTTTGGAAAAATGGCTATTCATGTCTTGACCAATTTTCTAACTTGATTACTTTCTGTTGAGTTTTGAGAATTCTTTATATAGTCTAGACTAGACTCTAGAGCACAAGTCCTTTGTTGGATATGTGGTTTGCAAATACTTTTTGCTTGGTTTGTAGCTTATCTTTTCCTCCTCATAATAGACTCTTTCACAGAGGGAAATTTAAAGACTTTTTCCTGAGTCCCATGGATCAGTTTTCCTTTTATGGCTTATCTTTTCATCCTGTTAACACTATTTTTCAGACAGCAAATTTTTGAAATTTTCCAGAGTCCAATTTATCAAATTATTTTTTTTGAACTTTTACTTTTAAGTGCTCAGGGATTCAAGTCTAAGAATTATTTGCCTAATCATAGGTTTCAAAATTTTTTTATCCTCTTTTATTTAGAAGTTTTATAGTTTTGTGTATTAAATTTATCTTCCTGGTCTGCTTTGAGTTAATTTTTGTATAAGGCGTGTGAATTACTCTGAGGTTTATTTGTTTGCCTGGGGATGTCCAATTGTTCTAGCATCACTTACTCAAAAATCTATCCTTCCTTTATTAAATTGCCTTTGCATCTCTGTCAAAAATTACTCATATTTGTGTAGATTTATTTCATTTCCCTATTCTGTTTCATAATCTATGTGCCTAGTCCTCCAACAGTGCCACATTGTCTTGATTTTTGTGGCTATGTATGCAGCCAGGGAAAATGACTCCTCCCGCTGTATTCCTATAGTTCAAAATAGTTTGTAGATAATATAGGGTCTTTCTCTTTCTATATAAATTTTAGAGTAAAATTTTTTATATTTGGGGGAAATAAATCTTGTTGAGCTATTGATAAGAATTTGGTGGAACCTATATATAAATATAGGGAGTATTGATAGCTCTACTCTATTAGATTATCCAAACTATGAGTATGGTATGTCTCTACAAGCAATTAGGTATTCTTTGATTTATTGCATCACACAGATTCCTTACATGTTTTCTTATATTTTAACCTAAATATTTAAATTTTTCTGAAGTTATTGTAAATGGCACTTAGAAAATCCTGTTCCCATATCTGGCTGGCATGGCTCAGTGGTTGAGCATCGACCTATAAATCCAGAGGTCACAATTCGATTCCCAGTCAGGTCACATGCCCTAGATTGAGGGCTCAATTCCCAGCTGGGGCTTGCAGGAGGCAGACGGTCAATAATTCTCTCTCATCATTGATGTTTCTATGTCTATCTCCCTCTCTTTTCCTCTATGAAATCAATAAAAATATATTTTTAAAAAGAAAATTACCTACAATACAAGGTGAAAAAACAAAAATCAATAGCATGTTTATATATTAACAAGTGGAAATAGGATTTTTAAAACAATATATATTTTTATATAAAGGCTGCTTCCTGCATGCCCCACACTGGGGATGACCACCTGGCTCATAGGTAGATGCTCAACCACTGACCCATGCCAGCTGGGCTGTAGGTAATTTTCTTGTTGTCCTTCTGTTATTGATTTCCAGCTTGATTTCACTGTGGTCAGAGAACATTCCCAAGTGCTTGGCCAGAGAAAGCAGCTTGTCTTGTGACTGTTGTGCATTCCTGTTGGGCAGCTTCAGGTTGCTGGGTTCTCTGGCTCCGTGCTGCTTGGACCAGTTCCACACAGGCTTAGACCGGCTTTGTGCAGGTGCAACTGGCAGCTGTATTGCAGTTTCACCTGTACCCCTTACCTCCTGCCTTGGGCTTCAACTCCTCTGCTGTTCCCTGGGACACCCGTAAGAAGCTGTTTGACACTCCGACTTGTGCAAGAAGAATGGCAGGAGAGTTCCTACCCTTTGGGTCATCTTAATCAGTGGATGATTAGACAAAATTCCGCTCACTTTTTTCTTTCAAGGCCACTGGGTCTTTCATAATAATGGTCTTCATTAGTTCCAAGACAACATTAAGCAGCCATATCCTTAGTGGAGGCAAGCCAACCATCTCTTCCTGTATTAGCTTATCCTCCTTTCCTTACTTTCTACCTCCTTTTTTTTTTTTTTTTTAACCCCAAATCAACTACCTTTGCCTCAGATCCTACTAATGTCGGATTTGGGTTAACAGGTCTGACATACAAGTCTGGGCTTGCACATTACCGACATGTAAAAAAGATCTGGTAAAGTAAAAAATATCACTAAAATATCTTTCAAATTCTATCTAAAATTATTTACTTTATACTTTTAAGTTGCTAAATGCCATCCAATAGAGATGAGTTTAGATCAACAGCTATCTTTTAAAATACAATACCTCTTGCCTGGCCTGTGTTGCTCAGTGGTTGAGCATTGACCCATGAACCAGGAGGTCAGGGTTCAATTCCCAGTTAAGGCACATGCCAGGGTTGTGGACTCGATCCCCATTGTGGGGCATGTAGGAGGCAGCTAATCAATGATTCTCTCATCATCAAGGTTTCTATCCCTCTCCATCTCCCTTCCTTTCTCTGAAATCAATAAAAACATATTTAAAAAAAAATACAATACCTCTGGAGATGACATATAATTCATTATTATAGTTAATATGAAAGACAGAAATAAATTTAGGAAGAAATCAAGCATTACTAAAAAGTCTAAAGACTGATATATAATCAACATTATTTACTTGGAAGATCATTAACAAGATAGGTACCTCATTATCTTTATATCTCCCCACCCTATCATTTTTAGTAAAGATAATAAAGAGTTTTTATTAGCAGATGTGCAAAAAAAATCATATGACTTCCTCCTCCAATTTCATTAACTTCTTGTCATAATTTTAATCTCCAGGTTAAACACCAGGACTTCCCATTTTCCTGGGCTTGTATAGTGATTGGCTGCAATTTTGCTTCTTTTGCAGTGGTATCCAGTCTCTCAGATGCATATCCCCCTCTGTGGAAAGATTGTCCTGATAAGCTTAGTGATTACAAGATAGAAAATGGAAAGTACATCATTAATTTCTGGCATTACCTTGAAAGACAAGGAGCATATAAAATCCTATTGAATGAAACAGCCAAGTATTTTGAAAAATTTGCACCAGAAAATGAACAAAATATTTTGTGGGGATTACCTATATATCATGGATGGCAATATCATACAGGTAAGAATGACTCTCTTTTTCATTACAATGACCCTTTGACTTAACTGAAAATTAAATAGGAAGCATTACCTTGTATATATAACACAACTTTTGTGAAAATTGATTATTTGTCTTTTTCCTCTTCCTACTCCTTTTCCAACTATTTCCCACACTCCTCCCCAACTATCTTTCTCCTCATTCTTTCCTAAACTAATTTTATCAAGCATAAAATTATGGAATGCCCCAGTTTGCATGATGTTTCTATTCAGCAACGCCCACAAAACTGTGTGCAATAATGAAAAACTTATCTTTGCACTGTCCAGTAGGGGAAAGGAGACCTACTGTGCTCATGTGTTATTATATATGGCTAATGGGCACTTGAGATGGATAATGCTTCCAAAGACCTGAATTCTTAATTTTATTTAAATTAATTTAAATTTAAATAGTCACAAATGGCCACTGGATTCTTCATTCACTGAGACACAGCATATTAGACCTAGTTCATTCCATATCAACAACTATTAATTGAGGTGCTACTAGGTGCCAAGCCTAGTTCTAAGTCCTGGGGAGTACACCCATGAGCAAAACAGTTAAGGCAATATACTGTACATTAAATACACAAGGGTACATAAAATTAATTTCCATTACCTACAGTTCTAAATGTGATTAAGTAATCATGTAGACGAGTGACACAGCATAAAAATCCTTTGCAGGAAAACCTTTCTATCATATGTTCTCTTCCTGAAAATTATATCTCCATTCAGGAATGAAAGTGAAGATTTGTATTGGAACAAAAATATTATAAATCCCAAACTCTCTTATTCTGGCTAACAATGGCATTCAAGAAATAAGGGACCCTCACCTTCAGCTTCCAGAAAATTGTACTGAAAGAAAAGAATCAATGAGAGAATGGGTAGTTTTGTGGAAAAGATAGGAGATGAGACTCTGCAAGGTCTGATCTGTGATAGCATCCTGAGCTGGCATTACAAGCAAGTTCATCAAGGGGATCTCCTGACACCCACTATAAGTCCTATTCTTAGGCAGTCCTTAGCATGGAGAAGAAAAATATCAGAACTCCTGGGACATGGTTGAGGAGGATCCCAAACCTCTACTAATAAAAGGGTAATATGCTAATTAGACCAGATAGACCGACATCTTCCAGACAAAGCCACGGTGGCAGGGGCTGAGGCAGAGGCGGTTAGAGGCAATCAGGCAGGCAGGGGAGCAGTTAGGCCAGCAGGGGAGAGCAGTTAGGGGCAATCAGGCTGGCAGGCAGAGGTGGTTAGGGGCAATTAGAAAGGCAGGCAGAGGCAGTTAGGGGCAATCAAGCAGGCAGGCAGAGATGGTTAGGGGCGATCAGGCAGGAAGGGGAGCAGTTAGGAGCATCAGGCAGGCAGGCAGGTAAGTGGTTAGGAGCTAGTGGTCCCGGATTGCAAGAGGGATGTCCGACTGCCGGTTTAGGCCCGATCCTGTGGGCCTAAACCGGCAGTCGGACATCCTCCAAGGGGTCCCAGATTGGAGAGGGTGCAGGCCGGACTGAGGGACCCCCACCATGCACGAATTCGTGCACCAGGCCTCTAGCAAGTTCCATAACGTTTTCCATCTGGGTTCAGTAATCCACAAATGACAAGATCAAATGTTGGATTGGATACCTTGCAAAATTTTATTTTCACTCAAGAACATAATAAATGGGATTCTTCTCTTTTTTAGTGGTTGATTTTACTTAGTATTTAATTGAAGTAAAACTACAGGACATAACTAGAGAAAATCAAAATAGGATTAATTTTTTTTAAAGTAACCCATATAAGTATTTCAAGCTAAGGACCATCAACAATGACCAGAAAGAAAATGTATTCTCATCTTTAAAGAACCATTTTTACCCTCTGTCCACTCTTTCCATGCCTCCCTACTCTCCCAACTAACTTGTCACCCACCTCAATACCTAACTTTACAGGCAACCACAGGTGTTCTGTCTCTGACAGAAGATTAAGGAACAGGGTGCTCGAGAACCGAGCGGAGATGGTTGAGCCCTCAAAGTCCTAAAACGCGCGGCCGTGGGTTCTGGGTTTATTGATTGAATTCCGCCGGCGCGGGAGCCTCTGCAGAGAGAGAGCGCGAGAGATGGAGATGGACAAACGGATTCATTTAGAGCTGCGGAACAGGACGCCCTCTGATGTGAAAGAGCTTGTCCTGGACAACTGTCAGTCTTGTGAAGGCAAAATCAAAGGCCTCAAAGATGAATTTGAAGAACTGGAGTTCTTAAGTACAATCAACGTAGGCCTCACCTCCGTCGCAAACTTACCAAAGTTAAACAAACTTAAGAAGCTTGAACTAAGCGATAACAGAATCTCAGGGGGCCTGGAAGTATTGGCAGAAAAGTGTCCGAACCTCAAGCATCTAAACTTAAGTGGCAACAAAGACCTCAGCACAATAGAGCCACTGAAAAAGTTAGAAAAACCTCAAGAGCTTAGACCTTTTCAATTGTGAGGTAACCAACCTGAACGACTACCGAGAAAACATGTTCAAGCTCCTCCCACAACTTACATATCTCAATGGCTATGACCCGGACGACAAGGAGGCCCCTGATTCCGAGGCCCCTGATTCCGACGCCGAGGGCTACGTAGAGGGCCTGGAGGAGGAGGTCGAGGAGGATGAGGATGAGGAAGAGTATGATGAGGATGCTCATCCAGTGGAAGATGAGGAGGAAGAAGAGGGGGAAGAAGGTGAAGAGGAGCATGTGAGTGGAGAGGAAGACGAGGGTGAAGAAGATTATAATGACTGGGAAGTAGACGACGAGGAAGACGAAGAAGAGGCTGGTGGTGAAGAAGAAAAGGGTCAGAAGCGAAAATGAGAACCTGAAGATGAAGGAGAAGAAGACGACTAAGTGGATACCTATTTTGAAAAATTCCTATTGTGATTTGACTGTTTTTACCCGTACCTCCGAAATCCCGACCCCCCGAAACTTATTTTTTTCTGATTGTAACGTTGCTGTGGGAACGAGAGGGGAAAAGTTTACTGGGGGTTGTGGGGAGAGGGTGGGCGGGAGGGGGTGGAATAAAATACTATTTTTACTGCCACACACACAAAAAAAGATCAGGGAACATTATCTAGAATTTTCATATAAACTGTTGTATACTCTTTTTTGGTCTGGTTTACTTTAGTTGTCATGATGCTTTTGAGATTTATTCATTTGATTGCATATATCAATATTTATTCATTTTTATTGCTTAGCCAAAATTTTGCCTAGAAAAATGTTGGAATTGGGAAGAGAATATTGGGAGTCTAAGACAAGATAAAGAAGTGCCATCAGAGAGGAAAAATGGGGGGAAAGGGACGGCTGTGAAAAGTGTACAGAAATTTATGCTAGATTCCATGCCTCCACTCAAAGGACTTATAACGCAGGAAGGAAAATTAGAAATGATACAACCAAGGACAATAAAATGCCTGCGAATAAAAACATACTAGATAAAAGTGAGAGTGTTGGGAGCTAGAATAATCTAGACATAGAATAAGATTTGAATTGAATCTTGAAAACAAGGTGAAATGTTGTTGGATTTTTTTTAAGTAATCCAGGAAGAAAAAAATAGAATGAACTAAAGATTAGAGCATGGAATTAGTGTAGCACATGGGAGAGAAAAGGAGATGGAGAGAAGAAAATGCTGGGATTACAGGAAATACCTAACTTTTGCTAGAGAAATAATATAATTGGAAAATGGGGTAAGTTGATAGTAGAAATTTGGGTTTGAATAATAACAAAAATAGAGTAAATTTTATTCTTGAAAAAAATGTGAATGACAAAACAAAACAAAACACTTTTTGGTAAAGGCTACTGAGAATGATGTATTCTTGCCATGGGAAAATAAGGAAAAAATTCCTCAGAATATATAATGACAAGAGGCAAGCATGTTTGTTTGTTTCTTGGTTTTTTTTAAGCTACAGTTTCAAAATGGTCCAGTAAACCCTAATCTGGATTCCCTCTTCTCCAGGCAGATTAGCTGACCCCACCCAAAGAACAGACTGTGGCCATAAGTCTGGGGATCATCTGTGCATCTCTGTAGACAGTTGGTGGGCTGGTGAGTATAATGTAAAAGTCAAATCACAAATTGATGACCTTTCCACAAAGGATCAATTTAACCCTGAATTCCAAATAGAGGAACAAAAACAAACACCAGAATTACTGCTTTTACAAAACAAATTAATTCAGCCCTAACTGGTTTGGCTCAGTGGATAGAGCATTAGCCTGTGGACTGAAGCATCCTGGGTTTGATTCCCATCAAGGGCATGTACCTTGGTTGCAGGCTTGATCCCCAGCCCTGGTAGGGGCACATTAAGTGCCATTATTATCTTTTTATGTTTTAAAGTAATAAATCCACAGCATAAATCCATTCTGCTTTAGGAGAGCAGGATCCTTAAGAGAAGCACATTCAAGTTGCATATGAGAATAAGGGAAATTTCTGATAGTTTCTGAAGTGCCCAGAACTACTGCTTAAAGTTTACCACATTTCCCAATCTGTGGGTTTACCTTCATGATAGATTTCTTTACTTCAAAAGCAACCTCTTTTGTATGCTAATAATATTAATCATAATTTTTGTTTACACAGACCTTAATTTTTATCTCTCTGCAATGCCCTTCCTTGCTGCAGTTGATTCTGGCATAATGGGGATACCATCAGACAATGTCACATTGCTGCCACCATACAAGGATCAGATGAGTTTTTGTTTTAATGTTTCTAGCTGTCATTCATCCTTTCCAGAAGCAATGAAAAAGTGGAATGAATTTTACCAGGTTTTGTGTGTGGCTTTTGTTTTCTTTTGTTTTTTAGTAATTCAATTAATACTTTTTGGGGGTCACCAGACAATTTTTGAATAATATATTTAATGTAGAGTTTTTTAGGCATTGAACAAGTTCTTAAAGAATTAAGTTCTTAATATTAAAATATTTATTATAATGACAGAAATATTAATGAGTTGATTACTGAATGAAATCATATCACATTAGCACCCTCATTACCCATTGAGAATTGAGGCTGCCCTATCCACTTTTCTCACACCAAATGAATTATATGCAAACACATGAGAATTATGATGTAATAGAGCATAAAGTGTTCTCTTTTATTATAATTTCAGGGCCAACTATGCAAAAACCTATATAGAAATACAAATATAATATAGGCTATGGTGAATTTGATCAGATTATTTCAACTCTCTTTGTAAACAAACTAGAGGCCCAATGCACAAAATTTGTGCATGGGTATGTTCCCTAGGCCTCGCCAGTGATCAGAGCTGATCTGTGGGGCAATTGGGGGAGTGGGAGAGCCCTGCTGGTACCTGCCTTGGCCGGCCTGGTGCCTCCCACTCGCCAGCCCCACCCCCCCATCACAGCCGCTGCAGGTCGCCTCCCTATGTGGGGCAACTGGCAGGGCAATCAGAGGGATGCCATTGGCACCTGCCTTGGCTGGCCTGGGGCCTGCAGGCTGGGGGCAGCTCCTGCATTGAGCGTATTCCCCCTAGTGGTTGGTGTGCGCCATAGCAACCTGTCGTTCCACTGGTCGTTCTGCCATTCGGTCAATTTGCATATTAGGCTTTTATTATATAGGATATAACTTGACTGAAACAATCATTTAACAATCAGTATCAAATATTGATATCTAAAGTAAAGTGCCATGGGTGAAAGAGTAAATGACCAAAAAACAAACAAGTTTCCCTCTACAGATCTTTATATCCTATCTAATAATACACAACATGGTAATTGACCATATCTTCGCTATACCTCCCATTGGCTAATCAGCACAATATGCAAATTAACCCAACCAAGATGGCAGCCAGAAGCCACACAGCTGAAGTGAGCAGGAGGCTCGCTTGCTCCAGTGATGGAGGAAGCCAAGGTTCCCCGCCTGCCACGGCCTGGCTCTGAGCTCCGAAAGCAACAAAGTTTCAATTATAGAAGCTAAACAAACCCCAGAAACCTCCTTTCAGCTAGCCGTGGCCACGGAGCTGGAGCAAGCAGGAGCCCATCTCTCAGCTCCAGTGACGGCAACAAAGTTTCAATTATAGAAGGTAAATAAATCCCAGAATAAAAAAAAAGAAAAGAAAAAAAGGAGAGGCTGGGAGCTTCAGTCGCCAGCCAGCCTGAAAACGGCCTTCAGCCCCTCACCCAGACTGGCCAGGCACCCCAGTGGGGACCCCCACCCTGAAGGGGGTGTGGACAGCCTGAAAACGGCCATCAGCCCCTCACCCAGGCTGGCCAGGCACCCCAGAGGGACCCCCACCCTGATCCGGGACAACCTTCAGGGCAAACCAGCCTGCCCCCACCCGTGCACCAGGCCTCTATCCTATATAGTAAAAGGGTAATATGCAAACTGACCCTAACAGCAGAAAGACTGGGAATGACTGGTCATTATGACACACACTGACCACCAGGGGGCAGACACTCAATGCAGGAGCTGCCCTCTGGTGGTCATTGCGCTCCCACATGGGGGAGCTCTGCTCAGCCACAAGCCAGGCTGACGGCTGCCAGTACAGCGGTGGTGGTGGGAGCCTCTCCTGCCTCCTCAGCAGCACTAAGGATGTCCGACTGCAGCTTAGGTCAGCTCCCCGCTGCCAAGTGGACATCCCCCGAGGGCTGCCAGGCTGCCAGAGGGATGTCTGATTGCCAGCTTCGGCCTAATCCCCCAGGGAGCAGGCCTAAGCCAGCAGGTGGTCATCCCCCGAGGGGTCCCAGACTGCAAGAGGGCACAGTCCGAGCTGAGGGACCCCCCCTCTGAGTGCACAAATTTTTGTGCACTGGGCGTCTAGTTTCATATAATTAGACAAAATACTCTTACTCCTCCCATTTACCCCATCTCTGACTCTTTTTTTTAAATATATTTTTATTGATTTTTTACAGAGAGGAAGAGAGAGTGATAGTTAGAAACACCAATGAAAGAGAAACATTGATCAGCTGCCTTCTGCACACCCACTACTGGGGATGTGCCCACAACCAAGGTACATGCCCTTGGCCGGAATCAAACCTAGGACCCTTCAGTCCGCATGCTGACACTCTATGAACCGAGCCAAACCGGTCAGGGCCCATTTCTGACTCTTAAGACTTTGTGGAAAGTTCATTATATGGCCAGAGAACAACAAGTAAACAAAATACAATAAAATACTAAAACTCTGGTTCTGAACAGTATAAAATCCTAAAACACATGGTTTATTGCTTTCAAATGGGTTCAGCATCACAAGTAATTAATATAAGTAATATTAAGCTTTTAGGGACTTTTAAGCATTAAATCTTTCATATCTTAACTTTTAGGGAAAAAAACTCCCCTCATTTAGATGTTGAAAAATTATATTTGTAAGTAGAATTGATTTTTCAGGAAGAGAGACAGTTATCATTGCTTAAATAATATAACCTTGTTCTTCTTGGACAGCATTTAAAGTCCAATTCTAGTAGTTTTGATGACCTGCTGAAGTACTTATGGGCTGCACATGTCTCATCCTTGGAGGTTGCTCATAAAAATTTTCACAACAGGTAAGAATGGATCTAAAGTTATTTTGTTTTTACATGGTAACAATATTTCCATCTTACATTACCTTTTTCATTGAAGTGTTTTTCAATTAACCTATTTACCAATATGTCAACTATGGGGGGTATTACAGATAAAGAAAAAACTGACAAGAAAATGTTTTACTGGATAAAGTAAAAAGTGTTTTACAAGTAGGAAGGAAAAATATGGGAAAAAGCCGATTTGTATTATAAAGTATAACAAAATAAAAAGCAATAAATCAAAATCAAACCAGAAGTCCAAGAAGACAAACAAACAAAAGGTTGCTTTACCCAAACCGGTGTTTATAAACCAGGGAGTGTAATGACAAATAATTATATGATCTCTGCATCATTTTGATCAGAGAAAATAACTTGGTTAACACATATTTGGAAGGAGCTATCCAAGAGGCATCTTGGTTATCATACTGAAGAGCTAAAATGACGTTAAAAGTCTCCCAATTTTATAGCAAATGAGGTTGAATGAGGCAGCATGACTTGGTCTGGAAGTGAATGACACTATATTTGGGGTAGTATCAGGCATCCAGAGTGAGATCTGGTATAGAAAGAAGGAAAGAATGAGTGACTGGTTTAAAAAGCACATATAAGCACAGGCACACATGCTTGAGGCCTTCTTGTTAACCACCTAATTTTATCTTTACCACTGACCACATATTCAATTAAGATATAAACAACAGATTTAGGAGTCATGTTGTTCTGTATATGTTTGCTCTTCGTATTGCTTCAAAGATGCTTTTCATATTGGTCCACAGAAAACTTCATCCTCTTGGCATTCTGTGAAATAAATTGGAATTGTAGCCATCATCACATCTTTTTTGTTGTGACTCGGCTGCTTGGCTATTTCTATGACTGCCAATGAAACTTGAGGTTATTGGTCAAGCAAATAGAGAAGGGGTTGCAACCTAAAGATCGTAATTGAGATCAAGTCATTATAGTTTATAGAAAATAGTTTATAAAACAATATTTTTGCAAACATTCCCAATCACATGCAAAATGAAATTCTTCTAGAAAATTGCATTTTTAATATCAACTCTCAGAGGATGATGAGAGCAACCCTCAATATCTGAAATTAAACAACAAAGTTGAATTTACTGTATTTATAGGAAGGGAGAACTACATCTGGCAGGCCCAGTATCACTGAGCAGAACACTTTTCTCATCTAGTTTTGGGTTATTAGTGAATTGGGTTATTAGGAGATGCAGAGTTCAGGGATTTGTGGATTTTAAGTTAGTTGAGTTACCAGTATGAGAATACTCAGGTAAGATAGCTATCAATTTTCGTTAGAAACATGTGTATACAATGGGCCCCAGTTCCTAATGGCCAGTTCCTAAAGGATTGACTTTCGAAAGATGACACTGATTGGAAGCTTGCCAAACTCTGTTTCCCAAACCATTAATCTGAGGCGAGTTTTTGTTGATGGATTGAGGAAGTCTAAAAATGTTTTGATGACAACTTGTTACTTTGTCTTCTCCTAGAGATGAGAAAACTTGTTTTTATTCTTGAAAGTGTGACACTACTTCAAGTGGTTAAAATTTAAGGATATTGCAGATTTTGTTTATGATTTAATTTCTATTATGTGCTTATTTGTTTTTGTTTTTTTATGCTCATTGCATTTATTCCAAACTATTGAATGTGACTAATTTGGAAATATTTGATTAATTTTCAATAGATCAAATTTATAAATAACCTGAGGCAAAATAATATCCATATGAATTGTTTGATGAGTAAGTTTAAATGTGTATGTGCCTGTTTTTTTTCACACACCACCTCAGGGGAAAACAAATAAGCAAACACCTCTTGTTGATCTTAGTAGAAACATAAGTACAAAAGTTAATTATTTTTTTACTAACATATTTACTTTATATCCTGAACTTCTAACTTTTTTACATGGCTATCTACATAGGTGTCATAGGTTGCTATACCTATATGAATATTTTTTAATAGCTGCATGACAGAATCTGAACTATGGATTTTCTTCTCATCTCTCAGTCAATTCTTACAACAATAAATTTTATAGATAGTAACTCTTCTGAAGTTTACACAGATTGATAGTGTCAGGAAGATTTATGTCAAGGGTAGTCTAACTCCAAAGGCTATGCTTTTACCCTTATAGCTCTTCTGTTTATAAAACTATGTATCCTGCAAACTGGTATTCAAAGATCCATACACAGAAATCCTCAACACAATACTGGCAAACAGGATTCAGCCACATAAAAAAGGGATTATAAACCATGACCACATGGGATTTATACCAGGAATACAAGCACTGAGATACTATAGCAGTCAATCTCATAACCCAGGTGGCCGTTAAGTGACTAACCTGTACAGAGATAAACAGCATAGACATGCTGCACAAAAGAATGATTCACATTCCCAAGATGGAGTGGAACATGGAGAGATTTCATCATGCTACTCAGAACGGCATACACTTTAAAACTTAACCATTGTTTATTTCTTGGATTTTCCATTTAATATTTTTGAACCAAAGGTAATGAAAACTATGGATAGTGAAACTTCAGATAAGGGGGACTTATCAGAAAAAAAAAAATACCAAGCTACCTAAAAAGCAAGAAAAATATTCTGTAAGCTATTTTATTGTTTAGTGGTTACCTGAAATGGAAATCACATGTTCCTTTAAAAATATCAAAATTCAGCAGAAATTTTGCTAATCTTCTTTGACTATATCTTTACATCCTATATAATAAAAAAGTAATATTCTAATTGACCCTAACAGCAGAATGACCAGAATAACCGCTGGACCAGTCACTATGAGGCACACTGACCCCCTCTCGGTCCCTTCCCCTGGCCATCAGGTATCGATCACCCGATGGCGAACAGGAACGGGGGGTGGGTGGCAGCAGGGGGCAGGGCCGGCTGTGGGCACCTGTGGGTGCCTAGGGCTGTACCTGCGCACAAATTTCATGCACTGGGCCTCTAGTTTTAAAATAATGAGACTTGGTCACATTTCAGTATGTATGCAAATGGAGCAGGGTTTATGAAAAGGGAAAAGTATTCTACTAAAACCATTTTCTGGATGGTAATTTCCAGACTTAAAATTCTAATGAAATCTTTTCAAATGTTCAAATCTAATAGCTAAAATCAACAGCCAGTTTCTACAATCCATATTCTAAAAAGTAGTAGGATGTAGTTTTGAACAAAATATCTTTTGAAAATTGAGTTTGCAAAATTCTGAGTTGACTAATTATAAATGGGAACTTCCCTCCACCCCTTGTCTTGTAGGTTAAGGTATTATTCTAAACAAGAAGCAGATTTTGGAAGAAATTGGGCTTTGTTTGTGGATTATTTAGCTCCATCCCTCTTTCCTACAACTTTGATTAGAATTTACGAATTCCAGAAAGTTCTGCCCACACGAGTGCTTCTTAGTGGGGACCGACCCCTCTTCATCAGTGACTTTACTGGCTTTCAGAAAAGTGTCCTGCTTGCTCTAAATCTTTTGCACATTGTGCATAAGTATACAGGTAAGAAACACTTTAACTTTTGAAAATTCTTATTGTGTTGATTTCATAAGTAATGAAAAAACATTAGAATCATTGTTATAAATCACTACAACAGAATGTCTAAAGAAATAAATTTTATCTCAACTCATAAATATCTTTACTATTTTTTAGGAACACTGTCTTTCATTGTATGGAAAACTTTTATGAAGTCAGAAATTGCAAGAGAACTGTTTCTAGAGATTTTGGAATTCATCCTTCACTATTTTAATTAAGTACTTCTGGAAATCTGTAATAAAACAAAAATCTATGAGAATAATTCCTTGAGAAAAAGTGTTCTCAACATTTAGTCTTGCATATTTGCATAATTTTGTCTTGTCTATGCCTATATTTTAATTCATGTTGTTATTAATTTGTTTTTAATAATTATTGAATTAGCATTAATAATAAAATGTTTACTATTCAGTGAAAATGTGGTTGAACCCTGGCTGGTTTGGCTCAGTGGATAGAGCGTCGGCCTGAGGACTGAAGGATCCTGGGTTTGATTCTGGTCAAGGGCACATGCCTGGGTTGTGGGCTCAATCCCCAGTGGGGAGCATGCAGGAGGCAGCCAATCAATGATTCTCTCTCAAAATTGATGTTTCTCTCTCTCTCTCTCTCTCTCTCTCTCTCTCTCTCTCTCCTTTCCCTTCAATAAAAATATTTTTTAAAAAAAAAAAAAAAAAGAAGAAGAATTTTGGGCTTGCTTTAAAAAAAAAAAAAAGGAAGAAAATTTAGTTGAATAGGTGAATAAATGCCAATAAATTAATAAATATCATAAAACCTGATTTGAATTTTGGATGTTATTCTACCTAAATTAATTTCATGAAACATGAAGGAATAGATTTTCATGGTCAATAGCAAGAGGCAGAAAATTTTAAATAAAAATTAGATGATGAATTTGGATTTTTAAGACACTTAAAAATGAACTATTAATTTAGAAAGTATTTCTTAATCAAAAATGTTTTGAAAGGCTTTTAGTTCTCTCAAAGTTAGAAAAAGTTATTTTCTAAACTTCTTTTTCTAGTCCATGCTTTTTAAAAAATATTTCAGGACCATACAGGGCAAAAATTCTCACTTTTAATAAGAGACAATGTGTACTTACAAGAAGGTGGCTTTTCCTCCTGCTGTCCTCATGGTGACTTTCTTCCACAGCTTGTTTAGACGGCTTTACATAGGGCCTCTACTATAGGCAAAATATATCCACTTATGAGCCATTTGGAAAAATAAAATGAAAAATTTAAGGCAAACGTTAGAAATTGTGGTAAAGTAATATGGGCACCAATGTGTAAAGGACAAATTTGCATCTAAGCTCTTTTATTTTTCCAGCCAGTGTTAGCTGGTTAATCCTTAGCAATTTATCAAATTCCCTTGTATCGCAGTATACTTCTTAAAAATGAAAAGATTGTAACAAAAATGAAGATAATTGAGAGTCACAAGATTTTGGTTATAAAAATTAACTAGTTCAATAACCAGAAGGTAGTGGACACCCAGGATAATGTGTACAAAATAGTATTTGTGGCACAGAGTACAGGTTTGATGAACAATACATCAATAAGAACTCATTATATCAAAACTCAATCACGACTATAGCATAAACGGCAGGAAGACCAAACCATGATATGTAATTGTTGACAGAAAACAGGTTGCCTCTGGATTAGAAAACAGACTATTTATTACTCATCTATCATCTATGACCTGATTTGCACAGGGCGATGCAGTGAAGGCCAGGTGATCACCTTGGCATGCAGTGAAATTACACCACAGGAAAGGAATCTTGAAATGATGAGACTCGGAATGTATTTAGAGCAGATGGCATATCAGCCCATTTGCTAGACTCACACATGCAAGAGAGAAAAAGAGAAACCTCATCTTTACTTTAAAGGGAAGGTGGCAGTGGGTGGGGAGGGTGAGGTGCAAGAAGGTAAATTCTCTGACTACACATTCAAAATACTTCCTTTCAATAGAGATTAATTTTTTACAGTAATCCTTTGTTCAGCATCTCAGAGACAGGCATCTGTTCTATCATGTTCACCGTGGCAGGTCAGTGCTGAGGCAACACCAGAAATGAGGCCACTGCTCAATTACTATGTGTCAAATCAGTTCTGAAGGTTAGGGATGATTTTCAGAGTTTTCTGGCAACTCAGTGTGATTATAATAAACACACAGCACAAGCAAAGAGGGAAGAGCTTGGCCTGCATAAGCTTATATAGTCTGTGTATTCCCAATTACGGCCCGTAAGGGCAGGTCATAGTGCAGGGGTTCTGAATCGACATCTATGCATCACTCTTGAATCCTCTGCCCCTGCAGCTAGGACCAGTTCCACACAGGCTTTGACCTGCTTTATACAGGTGCAACTGGCAGCTGAATTTCAGTCCCTCCTTGAACCTCTTACTTCTATGCTTCTGCTGCTACTTAAGATGCCTGTTAGAACCTGTTTTGTACTCAGACTTGTTCAACCAGAATGGCAGGAGAGCTTCTACCCATTAGATCACCCTTGTAATAAAAAATTATACCCAGGACTTAGTTTACGGAGATATGACTGGCTGAAGCCGTGGGCAGGCAAATGTCATTGAATTAATTGATTACTTAATGTCTTCTAAGAGAAGGCCTCACACCATGCCACACATGGCTCAGGGGAGCAGATGACAGGACTGAGGAGAAGGCATAATCTTTATTGAGGTTTCCTAGGAAAAGCAACACAGGGCAAGGTAAACAGCTTAAGACTGGCTGTGGGTACCAGAGGCTAAAACCAACAGTAATTAGCATATTATGCAAAAAGACCCATTGGAAGGCCAATGGACTTTGATATTCAGCAGGGCTGAAAATCAGCATAATATTGCCCTGCTGTGGACTCAATGGCTGAAGGCAATTCCCTAACCTGATAATTCTTTTACTGCTTATCAAACTTTACCTTTGATATGCTTGTATGCATTCCTAAAGGGCAAATGTGTATTCAAATGAATAAAAGCTGACAGGTCCAGGTTTTCGGAGAGCTTCTCCACTAGGGGGAAGTTTCCACCTGGCTCCCATGCCTTCTAAATTCATATTTCTTGTCTAGTGTTTTCATTTGTGCATGGCCCCTTCTTCAGATCTTGAACCCTAGCCGTAAATGAATGCGGCATTTGAGCATGTTCAGTCACAGCCCCTCTGCTAGATGGATGCTGGGAATTGGAAGAAGACATGAGTAGCTGCAGGCATATAGTAGAGACTTTACTGCAGACCAAGTAGTCATTACAGACACAGGAGCCATCAGACAAAGCAGTTCTTGCTAACACAGTAGCAAACACAAAGTAGCTATGCACTGGCTGGTCAGCAACACATTTTTATACCAACTCAGACAAAAGAGGCTTCTTGGCTGACAGTGACATCAGTATTTTGGTTATAGAAAGGTACGCTTGCACAGTGCGTACAGTAAAACTGCTGTGTCATCGCCTTTGCTCATGAGTATCACACATGGGCCTTGAATATTCGGCGTAGTCTGGTCGAGGTCCCCACAGGGCAATAGGGCTGGTCTCTAGCTGACTGCTATCTGGTTCTGGAATGATTTAGATCAGGTGAATTGTTGGCTTGGTGTGTGAAAGATAAGAAAGTGGATGGGGGCACAGCCTTGGATATGCTCATCTGTACATGAAAGGCAGATTTTAGGTGAGCTGTCCACTACCTCCAGCAATTAGCTAGCCTGAGAGGGGAAGTTCTCTCTTGGTCTGTAAAGCCCCCAAGAGATGTGAAACCACTGTATTATACACAACGTAAATTTTAAAAAACATAATTAATGCACATTGAGCAATGGATAATGAGAGCACATGGATAAATACTTCTCACTTCCATGGTTCAAGGCTCAAAGTGCCAAGATCCTCTCATAATGTTCTAGCCACCCCTAAGCTGACTTTTTCTGAAGGTCCCTGAATAATTTGTAAAACCATTCCTTGCCCCTGCCGAGAGTAGGGTAAGTATATCTTAACATGAAGAATTAGTGAGTAATAGCGTTCACCCCATTTTAAAGTTCAAGACTATGGAACACGTTCATAAGATGACCAAGAATCCTGAATTCTGTTTGGGTACAGAAGGGCTCACCAGTACACTTTCCCCAATCAGAAGAGTATGACCAAATGCCACTCTTTCGGGTTCCCCAAGATCTTGAGCCCTGAGTGTGTGTATGAATGTTGATTTCTGATGAATGCCAGGCAATTTCTCACTCATCACCAAATTTCTTTTGAAGGAGGGAATGAGGTAGAGATGAAGATATTTCAGGAGCTGCTGCTTTGTGTATTCCAAAGGAACATTTTTAAAGGATTTATTAAGGTATTACATTTTGAAATAACTGCAAGGCTGCCAGATGATTCTGTAATACTACAGATATATTTAATGAGATATTGTCATCCACACATTTATACCAAGTCCAATTTTCCAGAGCTGTCTGACTGCTCTGTATCTATGAAATGGACTCTATTTTGCTTGATAGTTCAGTTTGTTCATTGAATTCCACATAGGAGTAAAGTAGGGATGGATTGAGCAAAAAGAGAGAGAGAGAACTCATGGATAGGACAGCAGTGTGGTGACTGTTGGAGGTAGAAGAGGGCATAGCGGGGATAAATGGTGATGGAAATAATCAATGGGCAGAAACTAAAACCGTTTCCCCTAAGAACAGGAACAAGACAGGGATGCCCCCTCTCACCACTCCTGTTCAACATAGTACAGGAAGTACTACCCATTGTGATCAGACAAGAAGAAGAAATAAAAGGAATCCAAATTGGAAAAGAAGAAGTAAAACTGTCCTTATTTGCAGATGACATGATACTGTACATAGAGAACCCTAAAGACTCCATCAAAAAATTATTAGACTTAATAAATGAATTCAGCAATGTAGCAGGATACAAAATTAATGCCAAGAAATCTATGGCATTTCTTTACACCAATATTGAACTTACAGAAAGTGAGACTAAAAAAGCAATCCCATTTACCATCACCCCCAAAAAATTAAGATACCTAGGAATAAACTTAACTAAGGAGGTAAAAGACTTATATGCGAAAAACTACAGGACACTGAAAAAAGAGATAGAGTAAGACATAAATAGATGGAAGAACATACTGTGTTCATGGATTGGTAGAATCAACATCATCAAAATGTCCATACCACCCAATAGTATTGCAATCTATAGATTCAATGCAATCCCCATTAAATTACCAACGGCATATTTCACAGATCTAGAACGAACGTTCCAAAAATTCACCTGGAATAAAAAAAGACCTCGAATAGCTGCAGCAATCCTGAGAAAGAAGAACAAAGTAGGTGGGATCTCAATACCAGATATCAAGCTGTATTACAAAGCCACTGTTCTTAAAACAGCTTGGTACTGGCACAAGAATGGACATATAGATCAATGGAATAGAATAGAGAACCCAGAAATCGACCCAAACCACTATGCCCAATTAATATTTGACAAAGGAGGCAAGAGCATACAATGGAGTCAAGACAGTCTCTTCAATAAATGGTGTTGGGAAAATTGGACAGATACATGCAAAAAGATGAAACTAGACCACCAACTCACACCATACACAAAAATAAACTCAAAATGGATAAAAGACTTAAATGTAAGACGGGAAACCATAAAAATACTAGAGGAATCCACAGCCAGAGAAATTGTAAACATATGCTGAAGGAATTTCTTCTCTGATACTGCTCCTAAGGCAATGGAAACTAAAGAGAAAATAAACAAATGGGACTACATCAAAATAAAAAGCTTTTGCACAGCAAAGGAAACTATCAACAAAACAACAAGAAGACCCACTGCATGTGAGAACATATTTGCCAATGATATCACCGATAAGGGTTTAATCTCATGCAACTTAACAATAGGAAGATAAACAATCCAATCAAAAAATGGGCAATGGACCTAGATAGACACTTTTTGAAAGAGGACTTACAGAAGGCAGAAAGACATATGAAAACATGCTCAAAGTCACTAATTATACGAGAGATGCAAATCAAAACGACAACATGGTATCATCTCACACCCGCCAGAATTTTTTAAAAAATTGATATACAGAGGAAGGGAGAGGGGGACAGAAACATCAATGATGAGAAGGAAACATTGATTGGCTGCCTCTCCCTTCCTCTCTGCAATCAATTTTTTAAAAATTTATGCTATGCTATGTACAATCCTGCTGTTGTAAATCACAGCTTTATAAAAGGGAACGGCATGCCTGCATTGTGTCCTAATGGTTGGTGGAACCGGGGTGGAGATGTGGATGCAGAACCAGAGTAATGGGCCAGTTCTGCGTCCTATGGCTCCCTCTCCAGCCCAGCAGCTGCAGCACAGGCCTCAGGTATAAGCGCGCACACCCTCAGGAAAGGGCTCTAGTGTTTACTTAACTTCCACCTCATTTGTAGTAGCAACTGTTTGTTCCCCAGAAAAAAGGCTCACATACTAGTCTCACATGCAAACCTCAAAATCTAGCTCAATTCATACTGTTTCTGAGAGCAAATGACTATTTTCTGGAGGCGAATTTATTCCACATTTTTTAAATTTCAGCTTTTGTTAATGTCAGTTTCTTGAACATCCATTGGAATGAACCTTCAAATGTATGCAATTTTCTTACTGGGTCCATGAACTATGTAAATAAGAGGTTATAAATGTATTGCCAATTTATGATGCTGTTTAAAGATCGTTATGGAAAAATAAAATGTCCTTAGATTTTACAGTGAAATATGTACAATGATGAAATTCTCTAGATCACCACTAGATGGTATATAAAACCTATTAAATATAGTACATTAGCCTGTCATTGCTGCTCTGTTTCAGGTTTTTCCCAAATGGCATCTTAATGATTGCAAGTCTAATTATAACTAATTAATATTAATATTACAATTAATACTTATTTAATGACTTCCATAGACACTGATCCAATAATACTATACTAGCTGAGTGACCTTAGAGAAGTCACTCATTCTCCCTGTACCTCAGCTTCCTTACCTGTAAAATGGAAATAGTAAGTACCTACCTAGCTCATAAGAGTTGTAACAATTCAGTGAGTAAATAGGTGTATGCATTTAGAGAAGTCTTTGACACTTTATAGGTTGGCTATTATTATTTGCCAGACACTCACTCTACATGACACCTATATATATAATTTGTATATGCATGTATGTCTTCTAAATTTTAACTTTCCCAAGTTCAGAACTGAGATTTGAATTAAGATCTCTACTAGTCCATACTATGATACCATGTGGCCTCTCAGTGTGCTGTACTGGGGTTCTTTACACATTCAATCTCTATTAACCACTCAGTCTTCAACATTTCTTGAGTGCCTACATGTACCAGAAATTATGGGAGATTCTGAGCATATTTCCAGCCTCTATGGAGACAGACAGATTCTGCCAGCTAGAAAAAGGGGTGAAATTGAATAACTGTTAGGCAGGCAACTATCAATGCTGCGCATTCCTCCAAGAATTGTTTTGTTTTGTTTTGTTTTAATATTGGCGCTGCCTTAAATTAAAAAAAAGAAAAGAATGAATTACTAATATGGAATGCCCCAAATTCAAGCATATAGAAGACCAATGTTAGAGAAATAGTAAGGCCTTTTTCCCCTTGAAATCTTTCCTGACACAGAGTGTTTTCGCATGGCTCATTTGCTGGCACCTCTGAGTCAACATCCTCTTTCTTGAAACTGACCTTTTCTCCTCTGGTCACATGGTTTGAATGGGAGCTCTTCCGTTATTTCAGACTTAATCCCCAAAGCCCCTCTCTTCCTGTGATGTTGATGAGTCCAGGATTCAATCATGTCATGGTGACTTCTTACTGGGTCAATCATGTCATGGCAACCTCTTGGCTTTGTCTGAATACACCAAGGGTGAGCCTCCGGCCTGAACAGACTGACTCTGAATCCTTCCCCGGGGTTGTTGATTTATTTCCCAACCTAGAATCCGCAAAGGCCAGCCAGTGCCTCCCTGGTAGTGGGAGCAGCAAGGTGTGGGTTGCAGCAAGGTGTGAGTTGCAGCTGCTGGGCAAGTAGCATGGGAAGCTGGCCTCCTCAGGTAGGAGAAATGAAGCTGAAAAGCAGAGGAGCAGAGATAAAGGGCTGAGACAGAGAGGCCTGACCGTGGTCCTGCTCCGGTTCCTGCTGTTCCTGGAGCCTGTGACAGCCCTGCCCTCCCAGAGGTTCACTAGTCACACTTCTTTAATCACACCTGACAACAAGGCATCCTCCAGTAAATACTCCTTTTTGCCCCAGATAGTTTGATCTGAGTTCTCATCACTTTGACCACAGGAACTCTTACTAATCCAGGTGGTCACTCATCCTATCCACTCCAAAGTGTAAGCCAGCACTTTAAGTCCTTACCCATAATCTGTCCAGGTCGAATTCTCACAGTAGGCGGGTATAACACCAAAAGAGGAAAAAATGCAAGGAACCCAAAAGGTAAATATGGAGTTAATATGTAAAAAGCTGATGGTTCATTAGGACTAAGAAGTATCTTGAAGGAACACACCTTACCAGAAATGCCACGTGCTCTGTAAATGGATGTTACCTCTGAAAGCCGCCACTTCAGTCCTACTCCAAGTTTAGAGGGCTTAGCTCTCCCAGACTTTCTGCTACTGGGGGATTTCAATAGTTTTGCAGTGTAGGTGAGTGGTATGACTTTACTTCATTAATTTATAAAGGTTTTGATTGCAATCTCTACAAGCTAATTGAATAAGCATTTGTTTTTTCCAGGTATTTATACCCTCAGAAATACCAGACTAAAGCAAATTCAGGATACCTGTTTCTAGGGAAAATACCTAAAGAAATTAATCCCTTCAGAATATTTTTGTGTGTGTGTGGCTCTCACTCTAGATCTCATTCTCACTCCCCTTCTTGTCTCAGTGGGAAAAAATGTAAGGTCCTGAGATTCCATTACGCCAATGTGACATTTAGGAAGCAGAGCCCTAAATTGCAGATGTAGCAAGGGGGATAGGGCCAGCTAAAACCTGACAACGCACTAGTTTTGTGACTCCTTTAGACACAGAATGGACATACCCTAAATTAATTTGGAGCAGCACACAATCACTTCTCTGCTATTTAGTGTACAGTTCAGATTATGGCTTTCTTACACATTTCCATTTTTTGCTCATTTTGTTCAAATTATGGCTTTTTTACACACTTACACATTTTCCATTTCTCAAAAGGTCACAGTATTGAGTGTCTATGAAATGCCACTTCTTTTACTGTGCTTAATACAGCCAATTCACTTTTGTGAATCTAATCTAATAAAAGAGAAACATGCAAATTGACTGCACCTCTGCTATGCCCCAAACCATGTCCACTAGCCAAGCAGAGTGACTATATGCAAATAAATCCAACTAAGATTGCGGCCGGCAGCCACGGAACTGGAGCAAGCAGGAAGCTTGGTTGCCCCAGCGATGGAGGAAGCCAAGCTTCCCACCTGCCCTGGCCGACTGTGGCCTCCGCTGAAGGCAACAAAGTTTCAATTATAGAAGATAAATAAATCCCAGATACCTGCTTCCAGCCTGCCTCCACTGGAAGCTTGGGTGGCTGGGGGCTGTGGCCAGCCTGAAAACAGCCATCAGCCTCTCACCCAAGATGGCCACACCCTCATGGGGTGAGGGTCCCCACTGGGGGGCTTGGCCAGCCTTCAAACAGCCATCAGCCCCTCACCCAGGCTGGCCAGGCACCCTAGCAGGACCCCCCTCCCTGAAGGGGTTGGGGTCAGCCTTAAAACGGCCCTCAGGCCCTCACCCAGGCTGGCCAGGCACCCCAGTGGGACCTCCACCCTGATCCAAGACACCTTTCAGGGCAAACCAGCCAGCCCCCAACCATGCACCAGGCCTCTACCCTATATAATAAAAGGGTAATATGCAAATTGACCCTAACAGCAGAACAACTGGGAATGACTGGTCACTATGACACACACTGACAACCAGGGGGCAGACGCTCAATGCAGGAGCTGCCCCCTGGTGGTCAATGCACTCTCACAGGGGGAGCTCTGCTCAGCCACAAGTCAGGCTGCCAGCTGCCAGTACAGTGATGGTAGTGGGAGCCTCTCCCACCTCCTCAGCAGTGCTAAGGATGTCCGACTGAAGCTTAGGCCTGCTCCCCACTGGCAAGTGGATATCCCCCAAGAGCTCCTGGGCAGCCAGAGGGATGTCTGACTGCCAGCTTAGGCCCAATTCCCCAAGAAGTGGGCCTAAGCCAGCAGGTGGTCATCCTCTAAGGAGTCCCAGACTGCGAGAGGGCACAGGCCAGGCTGAGGGATTCCCCCCCCCACCCCCGCAGTGCACAAATTTTTGTGCACCAGGCCTCTAGTTTTAAATAAAATAAAAAATATATACTATTTGCTCTTTGTCAATAATATATGTTAGGAATCTTTTCTTCTATGTAAATTGCATTTTAACTTCATTTTGCTGGTTTTGTCTTGCAAACATTTTCAATTGTTAGGTTGACAAATCATTTTTATTGCATTCAGACAATAAAGTTAAAAAGCCTATGCCTCCACCAAAGTTTAATAGGTTTTTCACCCAATTTTTCCTCTTGCGTATCTATGGCTTCATTTCTTTATATCTAGACTAGAGGTCCAATGCACGAAATTCATGCAAGGGGCTCGGCCCTCACAGCCCCAGCCTCATCCCGATGGTTATCCATTAGGTCGTCCAGTCTAATTAGCATATTATGCATTTATTATTGTAAACTAGAGGCCCAATGAACAAAGATTCGTGCAAGAATGGGCCTTCCTTCCCCTGGCTGCTGGCACTGCCTTTGCTCCTGCTGGAGCCACCTTGCTGCCTTCCCACGCTGCCCAGAGGCCCAGAGCAGCTGGGGTGCTGTGGAATGCCTGCATCGTCGCCATGGAGACAATGCAAGTGTCCCGCCCCCCCCCTGCCGCTCGGCACCTGCGTATGCAAATTAACCTGCCATCTTTGTTAGGTTAATTTGCATATTCACTCCTGATTGGCTGGTGGCCATCTCAAAGGTACTGTCAATTTGCATCTTTCTCTTTTATTAGTGTGGATTGCTAATTCAGTCAGAGTTTGTTTTGCATGGTGTATGAGAAATTAACTTTTTAAAAATCTTTTTCCAACTGACTACTTAATTTTTCTTATTTTACCTTTTCCCTGCAGCATTTATTAACAAGTCACTCTCTATTCTAATGACATGGGATTCCATATTTGTCATGTACTATGCTTTCATATGTATTTGGTCTAGGTATGAACTTTCTATTCCATTCTTCAGAACTATCTGAGCTGTTATCTACTCATGGTTATGTTAATCAAACTTTTAAAATTTCATTTGAGTTTGCCCTCCCTTAGGCAACTCAGCTTTTCATTTCTGAGATGATTTTGTGTTTTTCATCTATTTATTTCTTCAGTTTTATTAACTATTTTTTTTATCTGTTTCTTGATTTTATTAAGTTTTTTTTCAGTTCTCCATTTTTTTTCAATTCATCTCTATTCTTCATTTTTTTATATTTAATTCCAGTTGGGTTTTATATCCTCAAAGTCTTGTTTGAGAATACTTAACTCTGTTTAGAGTGAAGGCTTACAGTTTTCTTTTGCTTCATGATAATTTTTCTGCTAGTGTCCACCCTCCTCAATCTACCTGACAGGTTTTCTTGGTCGACTTTTGCTTTCCAGTTTTGGGGCCCAGGGACAACTCCCCAAGGTATATCACAAAAGCATACTAATTATTTCAAACTAAAATGATTTGGGATGTGCAGGAGTGGGAGCAGTTCTCTGACTCTCCTCTGTCTCTCTCTAAATTCAGGAAATAAATCTCCCTGTGATAGGTGCTCTCCCTGCTCCTAAGGGCTGAGAGATGACCATTTCTCAAGTTATAAAATCCAGAGTTAAAAAACCTGTATAGCCAAAACTGGTTTGGCTCAGTGGATAGAGTGTCGGCCTGCGGACTGAAAGGTCCCAGGTTCGATTCCGGTCAAGGGAATGGAACTGGGTTGCGGGCACATCCCCAGTAGGAGATGTGCAGGAGGCAGCTGATCGATGTTTCTCTCTCATTGATGCTTCTAACTCTCTATCTCTCTCCCTTCCTCTCTGTAAAAAAGCAATGAAATATATTTTTTAAAAAAACCTGTATAAATAAACCTTGTAACACCTTCACTAATTTGCTGGCTAACTTCTTTGTCTTGTCAATTTCTCACAAATGTATTGTTTCTTTGTCTAAAAAGTATAAAAAGGGTACCTAGTTTGACCATTTTTTTGAGCCTTGTTTTATGATCTGAGTATCATTTCACATTGTGATTCTTCTGTGCACACAGCTTAAATTGACTTTTCCCCCTTCTGCGAATCTAGTCTTGTGTAGATTTTATTATTTAACTAGAGGCCCAGTGCACAAAATTTGTGCACTGCGGGGTGGGGTTCCCTCAGCCCAGCCTGCCCCTCTCACAGTCCAGGAGCCCTCAGTGGATGTCCTACTGATGGCCACAGTCTGGCAGCAGAGGCTCGGAGCAGGTGTCGTGTGTGTGTGTGTGTGTGTGTGTGTGTGTGTGTGTGTCTGTCTGTCTGCTAGGGCCTGCCCCCAGCCGCACCACATAGGCTCAAAGCAGTGGCCATGTGTGTGTGTGTGTGTGTCCCCACTGGGGGTCTGCCCCCAGCCACAGTGGAGGCTCAGAGCAGGCACTGTGTGTGTGTGTGTGTGTGTGTGTGTGTGTCTGCTGGGGGCCTGCCTCCAGCCACACCATGGAGGCTTGGAGCAGGAGCCCCTCTGTGTTGATCTCTCAAGCTCCTGGCCTCCACTGCATGTTGTACTCTCCCTTGAGCTATGGGCAGGATGGGGGTGCTGCTTGCAAGCTGGGCTTTCCCGCTCCCAG